TAGACAGGCACACACTACCACTAACATATTTTGATAACTGATAAATTGGTAACAGTCTCTTAGATATCTGACATGTTTTGTTTCAAAGTTGTGACAGTCTTGTACTGTTCTTTGTTTTATACTGTGATTTACTGCTTTGATCTGACAAAACAAGCAGAGGACATCGTAGCAGGTTTTAGCGCACCATAATGGGCTTTTATAGGTTCAAATAAACAAAACACTGTTCTAATTAATCAGTAATGAACATCATTAATGACAGCCCAACCCAACATTATAATAATACAACATTATAATGATATTTACACTGTTAAACTGTTATTTTTTAACAACAACAGCAGTTAAAATGACAGAGTCACTTGCTAAGTTGTATTGTGAGACACTCCATCTGGTTTTCTTGCACTGCCTCAGCATCTCCTGCTTTCTTTCTCAGGAGCTGGACAGAGAAATCTGACACTAACCATTCAGAAACAAAAGTTCAGACTGAGGTCGAGGCCAACGTCCAAATATCAGGAGCAGCTGATGATCAACAAGCTCAAGATGTTGAGGTAGAAGAGTTTGACCCAAAAATCTTCCCGTAGGGGAAACCACGGATCCACAGAACACACTCTGAACACCTGATTCAACACTCCTGGATCACCACCATCGGTTCACCGTGCCTGTCCACCGCACAATCTGTCTCACCACCAGCATCGGCATCTGCTCCTCTCCAACCCCACATCCACCTGTCTGTATGCCCCCCTGTTGTCTGCTTTGTCCTCTTAGCTATGGTGTTAATTCTTAGTCTTAGTTCATGTAGTTAACAGTTAATCGTTTGTACATTGCTGGCGTAATCAGTCCTACGTTCAGGTTTGTTTCGGTGTCAGTTGTTACTCAGGTTCTGTATGCATTTTGTCCTCCTCGCCTGTTGGTGTCACTCCCGAGTTTAGTTCCCCATTCCCCTTTGACCCTGCTTCTGCCTCCGGTAGCTTGTAAATATTTGTAAATTTAGATTTACTATTTGCACTTTGGGTTTTTGTATATTAGGTGAACACTTTTCATATTTATTGTTTGTATATATCGTTGTAAGTAATAGTAGTTTCAAAGTTTATTTTTGTGCAGCACATTTAAACTTTTTGTTAAATGAATTGCTAAATAATCCTATATGTACGGTGCTGCATGGCACAGTGAGAAGTTAGAACCATGTAACTGCAGTCTCTGAGTGCATGCTGATGGGGTAGATCAAGCAACAGTAGTCAGCCATATAATTGAGTTGCTTTCCTATATTTAATAAAAGGTCTGTTCTTTCAATTTAAAATCATTATTTCTTTATTTTACATAAAAATTGGTTAAAACCCTGAACTACAACTTCGATGCAACTCAGGACCCTCGCTTTACTATTTCTAGTGGTGTTCTAGCTGTGACTGGGTTCATCCCATCGACTGTATAAAAGATGGACGTAGCTACCATGAGGTCACCCGTTGGTTTGACGGGTTTTGTTACTTCCTGGTTGACATCTTGGATTTTTGGAGCCAGTGACACAAAAATCGTCAGAGGGGGGCGGAGCCATAGGAGCAGCGATTGGTCAGACAGATTGAGAGGCGGGCCCTCTCTGCCCGCCCACATTTACCGCCTTCTGCTCGCTTCGTCTGCATCGTCGCTGCTGACTGTCAATCAAGCCAGCCACGCCCCTTACCCCGCAAAATTTTGACGATTTTTTAAAAATTCAGTATTGATTTATTTTCAGATTGGCCACCTGATCTCTGGATTTGTCTATGAAAACTAATAAGAAAAAAATCCTGAGCTGGAGGAATGAAGTATTTCTTGATCTGTGATCACTTCTTTTCCAATTCAAGTCTATGGGAGCCAGGGCTTTTTGGAGCCAGCAGCTAGCGGATGTAGTGATGTTGCAGGTTTTTGACACTTCTGGGTTGGCTTCATTTTTCACGGCCGGTTGCTACGTCCATCTTTTATACAGTCTATGGTT